TGAATGTACTAGATGATGGGAAGTTGGATACTGAGTCCGACTCGGGCGAATTTTGGGTCCTATTTGGTGGCTTTGCACCCATTGGAAAGAAAGTTGCTAGTGAAGACGATATCATTCCAGAACCCGCTCTTGCTAAGCTTCACAGGTATGTGTTGGCATTCCTTGATTACTATTAGATGATACTTGCTGTTAGAAGATTTTTGCTCTTCCTGTTTGGTTTAATATTTATAAGAATCTTTCTTATACACGGAGGCACGCATTTCTGACTTCTCTCAACGGTTTCTGTAGCATCGATGGTGGAGAAGTAAAAGTTGTCGATGGCGAGCTATCAAAATCCTTACTGGAAAATAACAAGTGCTATCTGTTGGACTGTGGTGCTGAAGTATTCGTTTGGGTTGGAAGAGTGACGCAAGTAGAAGAGCGAAAAGCAGCGATTCAAGTAGCCGAGGTACGCCACTGTGCCGAAATTTCAAGTAGTTAAAGTTGTGTACGGGATGTATCATCACAATACTTTATTTTCAGGAATTTATTGCCAGCCAGTGTAGGCCAAAGTCAACGCGTGTAACACGGGTTATTCAAGGTTATGAAACACATTCTTTTAAGTCCAACTTCGGGTCGTGGCCAGTTGGATCGGTGACTACAGGTGCTGAGGAAGGACGGGGAAAAGTAGCTGGTAGTTACCTCATCTAATTGGATCAAATGAGTTTGGTTTTCCTTTTGCTTTACAAGTATTGTTTAATATGGTACTTGTTTTACAAACAGCTCTATTGAAGCAACAAGGTCTTGGTCTGAAGGGATTAACAAAAAGTGCACCTGTGAATGAAGAAGTTCCACCATTGCTGGAGGGAGGTGGAAAAATGGAGGTTTGAATGATACTCGGTTTTGGTTGCTTGAAATGGCTAGATTAGTTTGATTGTTCAACTGGGTTCTTGATGGTTTTCGTTCTCCAGGTATGGCGAATCAATGGCAGTGCCAAAACTCCATTGCTCGTGGAGGATATCGGTAAATTTTATGGCGGAGACTGCTACATCATTCTTTACACCTACCACTCTGGTGAGAGGAAAGAAGATTATTTCTTGTGTTCTTGGTTTGGAAAGGATAGCATTGAGGTCAGTTATCATTTTGAAAAACATTTAACTATTGTAACGTACGTGGTGCGTGACTTCTAATATGGTGGTGTACTTGCCAAATACGCACACGCGCACACACACGCACAAACATAACCAGAGCTGTATCTGCTATGTTCTTAATTTCCTGTTGATCTTGTTTCCTATAGAGAAATAAGTGCTTGTAACCATATGGCAAGTGTGGGGATGTTTCGTCATTAACCTCAGATTTCAATGTCTTTGTCACAATCGAATCCCACCGCTAACAGATATTGTCCTCTTGAGAGGAAGCCTGGAAGAGAAAGTCCAAAGAGGACAATATCTGCTAGCAGTGGGCTTGGGTCGTTATAGTCGTAACATATTTGTGTGCATTTGTACTTACAAATAAGTGTTCGTTAATCTATAGCTATCAAACCATTCTCTATATATTTAAAACCTCAGGAAGATCAGAAGATGGCTATGCGGTTAACTAATACAATGTCCAACTCGCTGAAAGGGAGACCTGTTCAGGTAGCAAAAGCATACAATATAGATATCAAAATAGTCTCTACCTTTGAGAGTTTCCTTATCATGTATTTTCTTGCAGGGTCGCATATTCCAAGGCAAAGAGCCACCTCAATTCATTGCCCTCTTTCAACCTATGGTGGTTCTCAAGGTGGGTAGTCTTCTAAAAACCTTATTTCTTAACTTCATCTCTTTCATAATTCGAATCACCTCGTAGTTTTACAAGTTTCTGATGAATTCTGGTGTAGGGTGGCTTGAGCTCTGGTTACAAGAAGCTCATAGCAGATAAAGCTCTGACAGATGAAACCTACACGGTCGATTCTGTTGCTCTTATTCGGATATCGCAAACATCCGTTCACAACAATAAAGCAGTGCAAGTTGATGGTGTATGTTTCTGGCGTTTTTTTTTTTTTTTTCTGTTACGTGCGATTTATACCTTTTTGAACGTCTTAATCTGCCTTCTTGAGGTTTTGGAATATATGTGTGCATAAACCATATGCATTTGTAAATCAGGTTGCGACCTCTTTGAACACGACCGAGTGTTTTGTCCTGCAATCTGGCTCTTCTGTTTTTTCATGGCATGGAAACCAAAGTACATTCGATCAGCAACAGTTAGCTGCAAAAGTTGCAGAGTTTCTAAAGGTAAGGTCTCATATATATATATATTGATGGATACGAGTTTCCTGTGCATGTAGCACGCCGAAACTTTGAGATCTCAGAACCTGAGCTAACTTGAGCTAAATTGAGCTAAATTGTTCAAACGTTTATTTATTTTCTTCCTGATACAGCCAGGAGTTACTTTGAAACATGCCAAGGAAGGAACAGAGAGTTCAACCTTCTGGTTTGCACTTGGAGGGAAACAAAGTTACAACAGTAAAAAAGCATCTCAGGAAATCATCAGGGACCCTCACTTGTACGCGATTTCGACCAGTAGAGGTGACATATGTTCTCTTCTAAGTTACGTAAAATTATCTCGTTCGGTATTCAACTGTTACCGTTGCTGACTGTTTGTTTTGACTGCTTCAATTTTGGTGCATTTGCCCTTACAGGAAAGTTCCAGGTGAATATTTGAATTCCTTGTTAATGTAGAAGTTAACCATATGCAGTGTTATGATCTTATATTCACCATGTGCAGGTAGAGGAAATTTACAACTTCTCTCAAGATGATCTGTTGACGGAGGACGTCTTGATACTTGATACTCAAGCCGAAGTGTTTATTTGGATCGGTCAATCTGTCGACCCCAAAGAAAAGCAAAATGCTTGGGAAATTGGTCAGGTACGAGTCGCGGGACTATATTGTGTTACACTTCTCTAAATAATTTGCTTTCTTTCTTATTACTTCCATTTGTTTCCTCCAGAAATATGTGGAGATGGCTGCATCTCTAGAGGGATTGCCTCCTAACGTGCCGTTATATAAAGTCTCTGAAGGAAACGAGCCATGCTTCTTCACGACATACTTTTCGTGGGATAATACTAAGGCTCTTGTATGTGCTCAAACTATGTTCACTCGGCTTTTGCTTAATCCTATATATAATATATGTTATGCTGTTGATAAGTACGTTTTTCAGATATGATCATTTTCGTTTGGTTCTTGCAGGTTCAAGGGAACTCGTTCCAAAAGAAGGTGACTTTACTCTTTGGCCTTGGACATATCGTGGAGGTAAATCAACTTCCTCTAACTTTTACTTAAAAGAAGTTCCTGTTCTTGATAACGAGCTTATGACGAATATAAGGCCTTACGAGATATGTCGATTCTGGTGCAAAATGTTGTGACTAGATGTTCATCAGATAGCAAGGTGACTGAAATTTGATACTCTTGTTGAAATAGGAAAAGTCCAACGGAAACCAAGGAGGAGGACCGACGCAGAGAGCTTCGGCTTTAGCTGCTTTATCGTCTGCGTTTAAACCATCTGCAGATAAATCCACCCATTTGGTAAATGTCACACCACACTTGTTACGTACTACCTAAGTTTTTTGGTGTTGTCAATGTTGATAAACTATATATTTGTTTCCTTAGCAGAGTCCGGACAAGTCCAATGGATCCAGCCCTGGAAGTGGTCCTAGACAAAGAGCTGAAGCTCTAGCTGCCTTGACCTCGGCTTTTAAGTCGTCTCCTGAAAAGACGACTTCTGCTTCGAGAGTATCGGGCAGGGGGAAGGGCTCACAAAGGGCAGCAGCAGTAGCTGCTCTTTCGTCCGTTCTTACTGCTGAAAAGAAAAGTGCCAATGATTCATCTAATGGCAGTCCCCCTCCAGAGAGTAACATCCCAGGCAAGAACTCTTTTACCATTCTTTTCACTTAGATTAGTAAAGTTGAATATGGAAGGACTAAATATGGTGGCATTAAACAATGACAGCTGAAGAAAAACATGATGATGTTATACAACAAATAGAGAGTCCTGAAGAAGTCTTGGAACTTAAGGAACCAGGGGAAACCACGCCTGCATCGGGAAACAATCCCGACGATGCAGATGTAAATCAAGAAAGCCTGCAGGAGGAGAATGGCAGTGACAAAAGTTTGTCTGTTTTCGGTTACGATCGACTGAAGGCCAAATCTGATAATCCGGTAACTGGAATCGACCTCAAAAAGAGAGAGGTACGCTTTGTATTGTTTTCTTACTGAGTTAATATGTATGTTTTCGTTTGGTTGTGCCAACAGTTTGGGCATGTTGTCTTAGGCCTATCTGTCTGATGAAGAGTTCCAAACTATATTTGGAACAACAAAGGAGGCATTCTACAAGTTGCCAAAATGGAAGCAAGACATGCACAAGAAGAAAGCCGATTTGTTCTAGCGAATGAATCGAGGTCATATCTACATTTCCCCATCTATTTTGTTTTCGACTTTCACGTAAAAGAAATTATGGTTGTACTCGTGCTCTTGGTCGGGCCCGAAAATCTGTTGGCATTTTGATATATGCCATTGATGAACATATCAATAGTTATTGCCATTCAATTGTGCTGCTGCCTGAAGAGTGATTTTTTTTTTTTTTCCTTTTTCATTCTATATGTATCTCTTTGGTCATTGTTGCTGCTATGTAATGTTCAGAGGTTGTAGTTTACAAAACCAGGCAGCCAATTCTTTCATTTGGTCCTCTAGAAGTTTATCTGTGAGTGTCGTCGCCCTACCATCTTCGTTTGCATTTGCTAGTAGGCTGAGGGTTGTATATTCAACGTAAACGATTATGTTGTATGCGTTCTATTTTTTTACAAGGAATGACATATTTTTGTTGTTTGATATGTATATATATCGGTCTCGATCCAATTAGGCCATTGAAACTAGCAATATACTAATATTCCTTTAATTCAGATATTTAGAACTCGAAACTCGAAAGAGCTCTGACTTGTTTAAAATATATATAGACACATTTTCATGTGTTTGTGAGATATCAAATTCAAGCAAGAGGATGAATATTGAAAATACCATTTCAAATAACCAAATCTTCCTCCCTCCCATCCTTGAGAGAGAAAAAAAAAACAGGTAATACGAATAATAGAATCAAGAAACAAAACAGAACAATACATTTGAGACGGCCAAGGATGAATGCGCAAAACGTTTACGAGAATACGAATGACACAAAAGCTGCTTAGAGAATCTGGTTCAGGATTCACACATAAATAACTCAAGTTTGATGGATATGTCGGAGGAAGATGAAGTGGAAGTACTCTTGCTAAGGTCACTAGAAACAGGATAGGATACCTTTTATAAACTCGCTCTCATCTCATGCATTACATGTCTGGTAGTAATGACTACAGCCCAAGTTCTTTGAGAAGATTATTCCATCTGGGAGTTTCTTCGTCAAAAATGTATGTCAGAGGAGATACTAGAACCCCACTTCCTCCAATCTGCACCAAATGGTTCCACGTGAGAAACTATTAAATAGTGTCGTGTGTGTGTGGCAAGCCAGTTGATAATGGGATTGAAGGACAGAAGAGATGAAGTTAAGAACATTGTTTTTGTAAGTTGGGGATAATAATTGTAAAAGACAAGAGCTAATGGCTTACTGCTCTCAGCTGCTGAACCGACTTGTAGAGGAAGTTTTTGGGGACACATATGACAATGGCGTAGTAATCAGCTACTACCTTCCCATCACGTTTGCAGAAAACTGGACTCACAGTAGGGCCCTGTATTTACCAAAATGTAAATAAGAAAACATGATACGCAAAAATGTACGTTCACTTTCTAAAGAATTATTCTTTTTCCCCCTTTTCTATTGTGGTGTTATGAAAGAATTGCTTCCACCTGCAATCCAGACAATGATGGTTGACTTAAAACGCGCTCTGCGACTTCTTGTGCACTACTTCCTCTTATATTTGCAGTCACCTGCCAGATAGAGCATGATAATATCAAGCTCAGAAGGAAAAGGAATATTGATCACAAACCAGACAACAACTCACCGTGAACTGACCAACAGCCCTTAGATGTGCCTCCAGTCTTTCAAGAATTTCATGGGTTGTGTCTAAAGCACCTTTTCTTTGAAGCAAGGACTTTCGGCTGGCAAGAAGAACAGCCTAAAAAACATTTATCTTTGCAGTAAGAAAGCATCTGATATAAAGAAATTCAGTTTTACAAGACTAAAGGACATAATCCAATAAAGAAGTTCACCTGGCTTTCCAATACTACACCACCTTCAATTTCTTTCAAATTGTTTTCTTTCAGAGTAATCCCGCTACTAACAAGGTCCAAAATAGCATCAGCTATCCCCATCTGCATTTCAAAGGGGGAAAACATGGTTCTATAAGTATAGTGAAGTACAACTAAGCAGTGAAGGTTGTCCAGATTGCTATGTCTCCTTCAATCATGGATCCGACAAGTTATATCAGGGAATCAACATTATCTATCTTAGTATCGTACATCTTAATTCTTACATTAGCAGCAAGAAGTTTTGACCTAATTAATCTTTCCTAGCTGCAAACAAGGGGATAAAGCATAGTAAATGGGACAACGCATTTTCATTCCTGCTTGAAATGCTTTTCAGAGGTTACATTTTAGTATTAATTATGTTTCCAAATAACTGAAAGTTTGCCCAACATAGATCCTATTTCACAAGACAAACTTGCATAAGAAAAATGTCAGTTACTTGAGACACGCATGATACATGTTCTTGGAACAACTAAAACAATTACTATCTTTGATAGCTTGTTTTAAAGCATTTTTCTTGTAGTGGTTTTCACTCCGATATGTATGTATGTGGCTTACAATAGTAACATGCTTCAAGTAAACGGTTATAATGACGACAATGTTCACATAAATTGTTATAGTGATGACATGCTAAAGTAAATGGTTATAGTGATGACATGGTTACTTTATCCAAAAAGGAACTACTACAAAAACTTAACTAAATGCTACAGGGAAATTTCAGGGTTTGGTCACTCGCAATAGCATCAGTCAATGCATTGAATCTGACATTAGCAGAATACAAGCAGCGTGAAAACCAGCAACCAACTCAAGACAAAAGCTCTACATTTCATCAAGAACTATTACCGCAGGGGCAGCTTCTAATGCTCCATCAGCCGTTGAAAAACTGACGTGTTCCAACCCATTTTCTTTAAGAAATTTGGGGCCAAGCTATGAAAAAGAACATCAATGAAATTATCCAATTAGTAATTCATTCAAACCCCAATTGAAACAATCTTTTACTTTCAAGAAAAAGAAGCAATGATGTGATGAATAATGAAGAAAAACACCATACATAAGTAAAGCCAGTAGCAACTCGAAGTGGCTTCTCCTCGGTCCATTGGGGCATCTGAGCTAGATCCCGGATTGAATTTATATTCTCGAAAATGCCGTATTTGGGTATCTAGTTTGAAAGGATGGCAGTGTCATGACATAAAAAATTCATCGTGGATGATATCAAGGGAAAAAAAACTTACAGCAAGCGACAATCGGCAATCACCATATTCAAGGGCCTCATGAACAACGATAAGATCTTCACTACCCTATGGAAGAAAATAACAATCAGAAGCAATATGCCTAGCAAAATTTACTCCAAGTAATGAAAAAAGAACCAATTCAAAAGTTGGGGAAAGGGGAATTGATTATATACTGAGACCCATACTTGTCCATACTCGCTTGCTGTATCAAGACCCACGATGCCGAGGTCCAGATCTCCAGATAACAATTTCCGAACAATGTCTTTAGGCCTTTGAAACCAGACTTCCAAGGCCGATAACTTTTAGAGAACAGAATGAATGTGTAAATAAGATGAATACACAAGAACATATGCAGAATTCTTCACGTAGATTGATTGCTAAAATCGAAGGTCATTCGTTAGCAAGTACCTGCGGAATATTTGCAACATACTGACGAGGATTGACTTGTTTTACAGACAATTGACAGTCCTGGAGAGAAAAAAGAGTGTCAAGCAAGTGGAAAAATCCCAAAAAGAAAAAAAAAAAAAGGTGAAGAAGAATGTACCTTGAGAAGGTCTAGGGTATCGGTTGCCATGCGACCTTTACTAGGCAACCCAAATCGAATCTCAGTTCTATCGGAGATCCTCCCGTGTGTGGTTCCAGTAAGAGTCTCGACCTGAGACTGTACGGCAGTGCAAATAAGCGTCGGCGGCTTCGAACAGAGGCGAGAATACGAAGAAGATGAATAAGAAGGCGAGGAAATGGCAATGAAAGGAATGGAGGAGGTCGGACATTGCTGAAAACTCGCTGTGAACGTCCACATCTTTCGCAATTCCGATTCAAGATGGATTAACTTTCAGATAAAACCCTAGGATTTCAGATGCGGTTGAAATTAAGGATGAGATTAGAGTGGATGAATACAGGAATCACCTCCGTTTGCCGCCGCCGCCGCCGCCCAATCTCACAGCATAGATGAAGTTCTCAGTGTCGACCAAATATGCATTTTTTTATATCTAAAATATTTATATATATATATATATATATATATTTTTTTTTTAATTAATTAATTATTAATTGGCAAGCATATTAATTTAATAAAAAAAATTGCGAGGTGGCTTCTCCTTCTTCCTCTTCTTCTTTCCTTTCCGGCCAAGCTGGTTGTGGCCGCCCTCATCCCCGGTCACTTTCAGACGGAGATGCTTCTATCTACCCTTCCGTTGAAGAACGAAGCTTTGGATAGCTTTCCGTAGTGACCGGCGAGAAGGGCGAAAAGCAGCTGGCCAGGACGACGGCGGACGGCGTTGGTAACCTTTACCAAAGAAGACGATGAGGAAGAAGGATGACGGCGGCCAGCGTCGGCGACCGTCGCCGAAGAAGACGAAGAAGAAGTGGGAGAAGATGCTGCACCACCATAAAAAATAATAATATTAATAAAACCAATATATTTATATACAAATTTACCAGTGATTGACGAGAATAATGCATCATCTATCAGACTAAAAATTACGGACAGTATTGTCAATGTGACAAACTTAACTGAAGCTAGATGGATTTGTAGCATAAATAAAAAATTCATTAAACGCTAGATCGATACTCTATGTTAATATATGATCTCTCACTATTTTTATGATCATGAGTGTCATATCAAACATATTTTAGAATATACCAAACGACACATGCATGAGTCATGTTGCAAGATAAATGTGTTGAGCGTCTTTACGTGGGAGTAAAATTTTAATAACAATATCATATGGCATGGATATGTCGACATTTTGCCCCTACTCATAAAGACAACATTGTCAAAGGCTGTAGTATAAATTCGAATATTGGGATAGGGAATTTTATATGTGTAAATAAAATGTAACGTAAAATATTTTAAAATTAAACGAAATTGATTTAATTTTTTAATTAAAAATTAGTATTATTAAAAAAAAAAAAAGAATGGTTATTTTCTCCTACTTTATGAGGAGAATCGGTTCAATATGAACCATCCAATAAAAATTATGGAGAAACAAATTTCTATATATAAAGGTTGAAAAAGTATCGAAATAAATCGAATTTAATCCTCTTTTTTTTTTCTTTCAAGAATTGACATAAAGTTTTATCCCCCTCAATTTTGATATATCGAACTAAATTGAGTATATATTAAAAAAAAAATTATATATTAAATTTTCTATAAATTGAATGTGAAAAAGAAAAAGAAAAATAAAAATAAAAGATTTGTCCCTGCCACGTCGTCAGATACTCTGGATAATTTTAGTGTGAGCGTGCGGCACTGGATTCTAGCCTCAGTCTACTTGAACTTTCATGTCGAGTGAATTTAGGATGAATTTGCCTGAAATTTGACACTATATCGAGTGTCTTTTTCCGTCTGTGCAGTCTCACAATTATATCATGATCCAACCAATCTAATCAGCAGCCCACGTGAAGGAAGTGACGAAAATACGCTTACTCTTACGTGGCAAGATAATATTGGGTGAAAGAAAATTGTTCGGATAGAGTGAGGACCATAGGAATATAACCCATTGCGCTTTGGGCTTTGTTTTTTTTTCCCTCCAAATTCCCTTTTGCTGATATTGGATAGGCGGTTTTCTCAAACGAGTAAAATAATAATTAAAATAATAATGAATAAAGTTTCATTTTTTTTAGGGTATTTTAAATTATAATTTATTTTATTTCTCATGAGAAAGCAAAAACATTGGGGGTCGAGGAAGGACAAGCTCTCTTCTTCTTCGCTCTCTCTACTCGCAGTTTCTCACTCTCTCCAGTTAAATGCTCTATTTGAAGCTCTGGATTGATCTCACTCACTCGTTCAATCTTCACTGACTTCCTTTTTCCCCCAATTTTCGGTACGATTTCGCTTCTCTTCGATCCTTACTTATTCTTTTTACTTTTTCTCTTGCTCTGATTTGTGATGTTCTTGTAATCTAACGAAATGGAAAACCTAGAGATGTTTTGATTCACCTTCAAATGGTTTTAGTCGCTATTTGTTGGTTTATGCCATTTTCTTGTGATTTTGGGATTTTGGGTTAGGTTTGATTTTGTGGAGTAATGCTTGATGATCGATCCGTGCTTTTGTTCTTTCAAATTTTATTGTATTTTTTGGTTTGAGCTTGGTATTTCATCCACGTTATTTTGGTTTCGCCGTCGAGTTTCTGTTTGGTTTGTATTTTTGTTTTGGATCGCATGAAATTGGAGGAGCTTGGGAAATTTATGGTATTATTGTGTTGTTGTAAATATTAATAAGGAGTTATATACATATATATATATATATATATATATGTATGTATGTATGTATGTATGTATATAGATATATGTATTTGAATTATTGTTGACTATTGTTTTTCTGTTATGATTTCGGGGTTCTCCACCTAAAATATTGCATTTTTGTTGAACAAAATCCAGAAAATGTCTACTTGTTGGTTTGGGGACGTATGGATCGGATTAAATCATCACGTTGAAACTAAACTAGTTTATTGCTTTTTTATTTTTTATTTACAGAAATTAAATTCAGGATGATCTTCATGAAAGATAATTGTGATTTAGAAATTTTTTGTTATTTTTATTTTCATTGTTTTTAGTTTAGGGTGAAGAATAAGAGAAGATGGTTGGGATGATTATGTAAGCATTAACCGTCCTGTTCGTAATCTCCCTTTTAATCACACAAAAAAAAAAAAAAAAAGAAAAGATAAAAGAAGATTTAACTTATGTGCAGATTGTTTTTCCATTTTATTTCAATTGAATTTACCTGTGGGAACGTATTCTAGGAATTTGTCTGTATTTTAGTGCTCACAGAATCTGCTGAATCTGAGTAAAGTTCTTATCTTCTTTCTCATTTCGTTCCCATTTGCCACATATATTATATGCGAATAACTATTTATATTGTCTTCTTTCTGTTTATTTTTGTTTACTAAAATCCTATCCTGTATTTTTTTTTTTCCTTCTTGGCATGGTTTCTTGAGTTCAGCTGGCATTCTCCTGATGAAGGAAGCATGTTCTGTGGTTTAGAGCTGAAGTCCATATCGTCTTCAAGAAATTTCTTCTGTTCTTTTGACTGTGTAAGTCCATGGGCTCAGTCATGAATAACTTGACTGTCGAAACAGATGATGCCTTTTCCAGTTTGCTCGAGCTTGCTGCAAATGATGACATTGATGCCTTTAAGAGATCGATTGAGCGCGACCCTTCTGGTATTGATGAGATTGGTTTGTGGTATGGTCGATTGAGAGGCTCAAAACAGATGACTAATGAGCAGAGAACACCTTTAATGGTTGCTGCTACTTATGGAAGCATTGAGGTTCTGAAGCTTATTCTTTCTCTTTCTTGTGCTGATGTAAACCGCGCCGTTGGTCTTGACCGAAGCACTGCCCTTCATTGTGCAGCCTCAGGTGGGGCTGCAAATGCTGTAGAGATTGTGAAGCTGCTCTTAGCTGCTGGTGCTGATTCTAGTATGGTTGATGGGAATGGACATCGACCAGTTGATGTGATTGTTGCCCCCCCAAGGCATGCAGAGTTTAAATCAATCCTTACAGAGCTTCTTAGAACATATGGTTTGTCTGGTGAAGGACATCTTGATGTTTTAAAAGGTGCAAGGAATTTGCTTTCTCCTCGCCCTTCATCTCCTCCGAATGCCCCCTCATCTGCATCAGAGTTGGTTTCTTCTCCAACAAAGTCAAAACTAAATGATTTTCCTATGTTTTCTCCATCTGAAAAGAAAGAATACCCTGTTGATATTTCTCTTCCGGACATCAAGAACAGTATCTACTCAACTGATGAATTTCGAATGTATTCGTTCAAGGTTCGACCCTGCTCACGGGCTTACTCTCATGATTGGACTGAGTGCCCCTTTGTCCACCCTGGAGAGAATGCCAGGAGGAGGGATCCAAGAAAGTTTCATTATAGCTGTGTACCCTGTCCCGATTTTCGGAAGGGTGCTTGCAGATGGGGAGATATGTGTGAATATGCTCACGGGGTGTTCGAGTGCTGGCTGCACCCAGCACAATATCGGACCCGACTTTGCAAAGATGGCACAAATTGCTCAAGGAGAGTCTGCTTCTTTGCACACAGGACTGAGGAACTGCGACCGCTGTATGTTTCGACTGGCTCTGCAACTTCTGGGGCTTCTGCTATGGAATATAATACAGTCATGAACCTTCTACCTGGTTCTCCATCTTCAGTCCCTATGATGTCTCCATCACCGTTCACTCCTCCTATGTCTCCCTCTGCAAATGGCATGTCTCACTCATCCATGGCGTGGTCTCAACCGAATGTACCTGTCTTGCATCTTCCAGGAAGCAATATTCAATCCAGCCGCCTAAGATCTTCTTTGAGTGCAAGAGACATCCCCGCGGAGGACTTCGATTATCTGAGCGATTTTGATATGCAACAACAGCAGCTCGTTAATGACTTGAACTGTCTTTCTCAGCCACCATTAAGTTCAAACTCATTGAGCCGTTCTGGTCGGCTGAAGACTCTGACTCCTTCGAATCTTGACGATCTCTTCTCTGCTGAGAGTTTATCTCCCAGATACTCCGATCAAGCTTTGGCTTCAGCTGTTTTCTCCCCTACACACAAATCAGCTGTTATCAATCAATTTCAGCAGCAACAAAATATTTTGTCACCAATCAACACAAATTTCTCTCCTAAAAATGTTGATCACCCTCTATTGCAGGCTTCCTTTGGGGTTCCATCATCTGGGAGGATGTCTCCACGAAATCTGGAACCGATCTCTCCCATGGGCTCTCGCTTGTCCATGTTAGCTCATAGAGAGAAACAGCCACCGTTTGGCAGCCTCAGCTCGCGTGAACTAGGTGCTAATTCTGCTTCTGTTGTTGGTTCCCCTACAAGTTCTTGGTCTAAATGGGGACCTTCTAATAGAAGACCTGATTGGGCAGTCAATGCAGATCAAATGGGTAAACTTAAGCAATCATCGTCGTTTGAGCTTGGGAACAATGGAGAAGAACCAGATTTATCATGGGTTCAATCGCTTGTAAAAGAATCTCCAACTGAGATAAAAGAAAAGCAGGCTCATCCCA